AATGTATTTAAGTGTAGAGTTTTTTTTGTTGGAAATAGGTATCTCCCGTACAGATGAATATAGAAATAGGTGTTGTATTAGTTTCATTATAGCACCAACTATCAGTGTAGGTGCTTCGTTCAATAATTTCAATTGCAGTCAGTAAATGATATGTTGAGTCACATTTGATTGACGAACTAATTGTTGTGTATTCTGAAAGTTTTTGAGTTTTTCTAGTTAGAGGTATGCCCAGGCTGGCCAATAATGATGTAAACAGAATCGAGAATCTAACGAAAGTAAGCGATACTTGATATATTTTCCAAAAGTTTCGTGGTGATGTGGTATATATCTTGATTGATAATGTGTTTCATGATAGTAGCCATGACCATCAGGGTATAAATCGGAAAAAAGTAATGGCTCGAGGTTAGGATCATTTAAGGAAATTGGAATTCTATTAGAATCATTATTTGTTAAAAATCCAGCTATAAGGTGACGATAATGGGTATCTTCATTATGAATTTCGGCAGAAAAATTTGATGTGGAACTATAATTTCACCCAGTTGTATAAGAGGTATATTATTATCACCAGATAAATGAGTTGCTGTGGTAAAGATGGTTGGGTAGATGAATTGATTTGAAGCAAATTAGTGTATTCATATAAATAGGGTTATTTTCTTTGAGCCAGTTGACTGCATTTATTAAGGAGTTATCAAGCCAAGGCAGAGTTGAAACGGTGGTAGAAGGTTCCAGAAAAGTATCTAATATACCAGAATATAGACTTAAAGAATGAAGATTCTGAGAATAGTTCATAGTACCAACTAACGGTCTTTATTCTGTGAAGAGGTTTGCTCCAGAGTATGACCAAGTGAACAATATAAGAAGACAGGCAACAAGTATCTGCATTTTTCTAAGAGTAATAGTTCTATTTCTAATGGAACTTGAGAAATATATAGAGGATAATTTCTACTTGGGTTTGATTTATATGAAGAATATATTGCGATTCTATTTGGTGATGAATTGGGATTAGTAACCAATATAATATCTGGATACACAGTAGTAAGTGGATAAGTAGTATTAGATTCTTTGAAGATTCATAGTGATTTTTCTGGATACA